TGTCTATCCATTCATCTATAATTTAAGGTACAGAGACACATTGTGTCAGACACAAAGTAACTTTGAAATGACAGAGACAGAATGAAATGCCAGTTGCAGCAATATAATCTGTACCTTGAGAACTGTGCTGCACAAAAAAATTTAAATTTACTCAGAAAACGTCTCTTCAGCCTAGTAATACATTGCAAAATCATCTGATTATTGATGGTTGATAAGATTCAAGCTATTTTCATTACTATAGCTATAGATATCTGTGACCTTAAATTACAATTGATACTTTACATTTTATATTTTAACATGCTCCTATATCAAAAATATTTTAAGTGTTTAAGGAGCCATAAAATGCCTTTGATGTTAGCCTGGAGAAGCCGTTATAACCGTTATTTCTTGGCCATTACCTTTTGGAGTCAATTTTTATCTTTAAACCAATAAAGTCCTATAAAAATTAAGCTTCTCCCTTTGCAAAATGCCACTTGCATCTGGGTCTTTACTGACTACAATTTGTCAAGTTTAATTTTATATCAGAATCACCTGATGTTGTTTCCTATATTTTATTTAAATTTAATCCCTGATTTAATAGCCAGACACAATATTGTGTACTTAACCTATCTTGAATTTATGAGCACTGATTTTTATATTGTATTTTCTTTTAGACAGAAGCAAATATTTTGTTCTTTGACCATTATTATGGAAGTTTATATTTTTATGCACGATGAAATGTCTTTAAAAAGCGAATATGGCTAGAAAAATTAGGAATAGTTTTCAGTCAGTTATATCATGAAATTATCATAGAATGTTAAGATTATACACTGAAATGGATACAGATAAACTTCACTGACTGCAATTGTACTCAGTGAGATTTTATGTGCAGGTAAATCCATTTCCACCCAAAAATGAAAATAATTATATTTCAACTAAAGTAATTTGATAGTGGCCTTTTATTTTGTCTACCACTCAGCAAAGCTGGAAATTATTTTATGTTGGTGGATTTCATTTGATTGCCTTGAAAGAAGAACCTTTTGAAATCCTCAGTGACAAACACAAAACAAAAAAGGAGAGGTTTCTGTTTCTATTTTGTTTCTTGGTTCTTCAAGCAAACCTAAAAAAAAATGCATAGACTGATAGATTTTTAAGTACTGCATGGAAAGTGCTATTTTTATAACTTTACACCCAAGATTACCTCCTTGGTATTTGAACTCTTTAGAGATATAGTTTCTATTTATTGCATAGATAGGCAAATTATTGAGTAGAGCTTTGGTTTAGAAGCACTGATTATATATGTAGATTGTTCTTTTGCAAAGCAGTGAATATTTTGTAATATGATATTTCACAAGTTTTAATCCTTGCTAATATCTCAGTTTTAATTCAATAAGGACAAATATAAGAATGAATTGATAGGTTTCCTGATTCAGAGTTAATACAAACAACTAGTTTTTGATAGTTCAATTACTTTTGTCAACTTTTAACGTAAAAATGTTAAAATCACCCAATGGATTGGCTTCCATATTTTTCAATTTTGATATGTATTTATGTACTAAAATTTTACTAAGAACTTAGAAAATAAAATATAAAACAGCATTAAAAATCAAATGTAGGGGCTGGGAAGGTGGCTCAGTGGTAGCGTGCTTGCCTTGCATGCATGAGGCCCTGTGTTCGATTCCTCAGCACCATAGAAGCAGAAAAAGCCAGAAGTGGCACTATGGCTCAAGTGGTAGAGCATTAGCCTTGAACTGAAAAGCTGAGGGACAGTGCCAGGCCCAGAATTCAGGCGCCATGACCGGCAAAATAAATAAAAAAATAAAAATCAAATGTACTGAGTCAGGTGCCAGTTGTGCCTAACTAATCAGGAGACTGAGCTCTGAGGATTGGTGGTTCAAAGCCAACCAGGGAAGAAAAGTCTGTGAGACTCTTGTCTCCAAAAAACTGGTCAGAAAATGCCAAGAGTTACATTATGGCTCAAGTGGTAGAGTGCTATCCTTGAACACAAAGAGCCCAGAAAACACACCCAGACCCTGAGTTCAAGCCTCAGGGACCAGAAAAAAAATCAAATGTATTTAATGTAGTATTAGTAGTAGTAATTTTTCATCAGTTAGATTTGTAAAATATTTTTATCTCAAATGTTCACATAACAGAAATACATTATCTAGCACATGCTTAGTTGATTCAATTAACTAGAGTACTTCAATATTACATTTAATACTGATTGAAAGCAAAAGTCCCATTATTATTAAGAGCAAATTAAAAAATAAACCTAACACATCAGTCTATTTAGAATTCTAGTTTTTGATTGGACATCTAGAAAATAATCAGAATGTTGGTATTTGAAAACATAGCTCCTTTTCAGGGTAGTAAACTCAATAACAAGTTCCAAAAATCTCAAGTTTTAGTGTCTAAGATATTAAAGGATTTCAATTTTAGTATAATAATACTTATAATATTTATCAGATGTTTGGTTATTGTGTTTTAGAAAATAAGAAAACTAGTTGGGCCCTGGTAGCTCATACCTGTAGTCCTTGCTACTCAGGAGGCTGAGATCTAAGGATAACTGTTTGAAGCCAGCCTGGGTAGAAAAGTCCAAGAAACTCTTATCTCCAATAAAATACTCAGAAAAAGCTGAATATGGTGCTGTAGCTCAAGTGGTAGAGCACTAGCCTTTAGCAAAAAGAACCTCAGAAACAGTATCCAGACCCACAGTTCAAGCCCCAGGTCCAGCAATAAAAAGAAAATAAGAAACCTAAATCAGAGGAAATGTTTGAAAAAGATACAAATAGAACTGTAGGCTTCGTTTAGAATTTTCTAAATTACAAACCCAAACACAAATCAAAACTGGTTCTTTGCCTAGTAGCAAGGTAAAGAGTACATTTAATAAAGAAATAAGAGTTTTTAAAAGATCTTTACTCATTTTAATTTGGAACAGATACTTCTAAATAGAAATGTGTTTTCTTCAATGAAAAGTAATTTGTGTTTGTAAACCATAATTGTGGACAATGGAAGACAGATTACTTCTGTAAGTTAATGATGCTAGAATTTATATTTTGGATTTTTAAAATCTTGTATATGTGAATATCATTTAGAGTTGGCAGAATTCAGATAGGATATTTGTATAATCAGAGTCAACAGCATTTGTATTTTATTCCAGTGAAAGTAATTTAGCCAATTATGGCACACACAAATACGTTTATAGCATGCAGCTTAAATCGTGGGCAGCATAGAAGAATTCATGTGATTATATTCACCACCTCTTTTACTCTTCTGAATGTTCTTTTCCCTTTCCTTTCTAATTTCTCATTCCTCCTGTCTAAGAGGACCTGGAATCCCCTTTCTATGTAAAACTTAATTCATATCATTAAAAAAAAAACTGTTTAAGACCCTTAAAAATCCAAAGGATCTAAGCATTTCTTTGAGTCTATCTTAAGATCTTTACTTAAAAATGAATTTAATTTGCCAACACTGCAATTTATTATTGGTAAGTTAAAGCACTTGTGTTCTATCATAATTAATAGCCATATACAAAACTGACAAAATGAACCTGTCTGATGGAGAAATAGTTATAAGCTTAAAACTTTTGTTTTAGTTCAAATCACAATCTCTAAATTGATTTTTACAGTTGTGCTTGCAGATGTGTGAGCGTATAGTGTCTGAGCTGAGATGCACTGTGGGGTCCTGGTGGGGCATGCGCAGAGTTGCTTCCTGTGGACAGAGCACACTTGGCCATATTTTCAATTGCCTTGTTTCCAACTAAGGCCAGGTTGAAAGTTGCAGTAGAAAAAAAGTGTTGTGTTTGATTGCAAGGGAGACACCCCATATATCACAGTAAAGCTTGAAACCAATACGAATGAGTCTGAGAGCAGAAGCAGAACACAGTGTTGCATGGCCACTCACTGCAGTTCTTCTGAAACTAGGTATTTCTTCTTAATTGTTTTGTGATGAAGACACCATAGCATATTTATGTTTTGGTATTTTATTATCAGACCTGAATCTATCCCTCTGCTTTTTGTTATTCATTTTTATTTTCTTGCATCTTTTTAAAAAAATTAATAAGCAGTTTTGATTACTGAATTATTGTATGGCCTTTTACATCTTAATTAAAATAACTTTGTGATGATGGAAGATAATCTTCTTGAAGGCATTTTGTAGTGGATTACAAATAATGACACAAATATTGTCATTATTTAGACTAATTATAAAACACAATTGCTGTACATCCACTATGGTTCACTGGTTTTCAATGTCATCATTTTGCACTATTGTTCTGACTGTGATTACTCCTGTCTCCCATTTTTTGGCCTTTCTCCTTTCATTTGTAGATAAATTGTTCTTGGTTCTGACTGGATACATTGATGTTTGGCAGGATCAATTACTTAAGTAAGAAATAAAATGTCCTCCAGTAAAGTTGTTGACCATGCTATCCTAACAACAGAATATAATTGATGGGAGGGGTATTTGCAAATAAAATCACTTCTAATTATCCCACTGAGCAGGTGTGATAATTCACAGTTTTACTTACTTTTCAGTTTGAATGTTAAAAGGTCCATGGATTTTAGATCTTCCTTTATAATTTAGCCCTTCTTTATAGTTATTATTGTCCAATTTCCTAGTTTTCTTGCTGAAAGAAACATGAAAAACTACAAAAAAGCATGAGAGATCATGTATTTAATGTGGTAAGCTTTATGCATAATAAACTCAGGAGACTAAATATACTTATCCCTAATAGGTTATGAATGATGACAGAATAGAATCGATTTCTTCACTTTTTAGGAGCCTTTAATTCTAGGAGATAGATCCCTATGAAACATATGTGTTTGTTTTTATGCCATTGTGATCCTAGAATTATCCTTGGAAAAATAAATGACGATGAATAGACTGAGCCTTATGATTTAGATCTTTAGTTTGATTGTGTTGCATTAAATTCATTTACTGTTTGAAGCAGATAGACAAATGATTTTTAAAAAAAAATGAATACTAAACATTTTTACACTTTTGCCTTTGCTGTGTTACAGAAACCCTTGAAACTCTCATCAAACAAGCAGAAAATTACACAAGCATACTTTTTTGCAACACCTATAGGAACATGGCCTTAGAGGTGGTTGTTTCCATTCAGGAATTCTTCACTGATGTAGGCCTCTATTTGTTTGGTGCAGATGTTAATCTTGAGGAATTTGTGAACAGATTTTTCGACAGCCTTTTTCCTCTGGTTTACAACCATCTCATCAACCCTAGTGTGACTGAGAGTTCCCTGGAAGACTCCGAATGCCTCCGCATGGCCCGCCGAGAAGTTAGTCCATTCGGCAATGTTCCCAAAAGAGTCATGGGGCAGATGGGGAGGTCACTGCTGCCCAGTCGCACGTTTCTGCAGGCACTGAATCTGGCCATTGAAGTCATCAACACCACGGACCATCTGCACTTTTCCAAAGAGTGCAGCAGAGCCCTCCTGAAGATGCAGTACTGCCCTCACTGCCAGGGCCTGAGTCTCAGTAAACCCTGTATGGGATACTGCCTGAACGTGGCCAGGGGCTGCTTGGCCCACATGGCGGAGCTTAATCCACACTGGCACGCGTACATCCGGTCCCTGGAAGAGCTGTCCGATGCCATGCACGGAACCTACGACGTGGAACACGTACTCCTGAACTTCCACTTGCTCGTCAATGACGCTGTGATGCAGGCTCACCTCAATGGACAAAAGTTATCTGAACAGGTAGGTAGCTGCTCCACACGTCCTGTCTGAAGATTAGACAAGATATGCCTAAATATAATTGGTTATTACTACATCCTTACGACTTTAACATTGTAGTATTCTAATTACTTATAGGAAATGGGAGCAGGATAGCAAACTTGAGTTGATAGGTTTTCAAATGGTAAGTTTCTGGAGCTAACTAGGGATCCTGCTAAAATCAAGACTCGCATAGACTCGAATCTGTGATCAGCAATGAATGACTGCAAGAAACTAGGCAAATCTCATAGATTCTTTGATCCTTAATCTTCTCATTGCCACATTAAAGGAAAGGCAACATACAACGTCTGAGGTGTTCTTTTTCTGGGGGCAGGGGGGGGGGATAAGTATCATATATGCAAAGTTCTAGAGGTATTATTGTTAGAATTTGAAAGGTTTTAAGTCGGGCGCTGGTGGCTCACGCCTGTAATCCTAGCTACTCAGGAGGCTGAGATCTGAGAATCGCGGTTCAAAGCCAGCCCGGGCAGGAGAGACCGTGAGACTCCTATCTCCAATAAAACCACCAGAAAACCAGAAGTGGCGCTGTAGTGAAGTGGTAGAGCGCTCGCCTTGAGCTGAAGAGCTGAGGGACAGCGCCCAGGCCCAGAGTTCAAGCCCCACGACCGACAAAAAAAAAAAAAAATAGAATTTGAAAGGTTTTTAGCTTTACAATAAAGACACCACTTATGTAGTCATCAAAATAAAACCTAATAACCTGGGAATGGAAATATTTCTCCAGAAACTTCATATTCTGTCATAGGAATGATTTTTTTTTAAATCATGGTCTTGCTTTTTATTTCTACTAGAGTAAGGTGTTTTCTTTCTTTGTTTTTTTTTCTTTTTTTGGCAGGTCCCTGAGTTTCTTTTACTCAAGGCTCTTTCCCTTAAGCTACAGAGCCACTTCTGACTTTTTTGAGTTTATTGGAGATAAGAATCTCAAGGAGTTTCCTGCCCTGTCTGGCTGTAAGCTATGATCCTCAGATCTTAGCCTCCTGAGTAGCTAGGATGATAAGCTTGAGCCACCTGGTGCCTGTTACTAAGATTTTTTTTTTTTGAATGAAATCATCAAAGCAAGTTACATGTTTTCTCTTTCTCCTATTTTCACAGAGCCATTTACAGCATACTCTCAGGCTCCTGCAATAATAGTTCTCATTTCTCATTGAGTGAAGGAATTTGTGCTACTTCTGATTCTCTTAAATATTCCTCTTTAGGTTAAATTTATACTTTTGTAGCAGCAATAACAACACATTGTCTTTCTTGGCACTTCCTTATTAATAAGAATAAGCTCTATATATCAGTTACTTTTCTCTTTTGCCATTTCTGATCGAAATTGGACCTGAAAAACTATGTGAAATCCTGTACTTCGGACTTTTAAAGGTCCATGTGACACTATTTGTGGCCTTTATGCAAGGTGGAATTGGCGCCCTCTACAGGACAAATAACCAGGATGCGGTTCAGTGTGAACTGCATTTCAAGCCTACTTCCGGCCTCACCCAGCTGACTGTCTCTTTCCAGTGTGTAAAGATCTCATTTTGATATAATAAAGTTTTTGTTTTCTCTCATCCCTTTGTGAAAATCAGATATGAGTGAAACGTTGGTAAAATATAATGAAACAAAATGGAAGTATGATGATTGCTGAGATCCCAGGTGTTCCATAGATAGAAGCATTTAGACCCAAGGTATAAAATGACAATATCAAGATACAAAATATCTCCAAAAAGGAATATTACCTAAAATCTGAGACAATGACAAGATATGGTTTAAAATCTTGAGCTTTCTAATATATGTGAGTAGAGTAGCTAAGATATGGAACCAACCCAGCTCTTCCTCAGTAGATGAATGGATCAAAAAAACAGAGTATATGGCTCAGGAAAGTGGCTCAGTGCTAGAATGCTTGCCTTGCATGCATGAGGCCCTGGGTTCGATTCCTCAGCACCACATAAGCAGAAAAAGCTGGAACTGGTGCTGTGGCTCAAGTGGTAGAGCACTAGCCTTGAGCTGAAGAGGTCAGGGACAGTGCACAGGCCCAGAGTTCCAGCCTCAAGACTGGCAAAAAAAAAAAAAAAGAAAAGAAAATAAGATATAGTATATATACACAATGCTTGCATCAGAAAGAATGACATCACCCCATTCATAAATAAATGGAAAGACCTGTAAAATATTATATTACGTGAAGTTAGCCAGACCCAAAGAAACATAGGTTGCATGGTTTCTCTCATTTGTAAGAACTAGAATATATCTATGTTATTCCTAAAAGGGGATCTCAATAACCCAATTGCTAAGTGCATAAGATCATAGATAATGAAGTGTATCAACCTGAACTCCAAGAATTGGAAACAAGAGGCTCTTACTTTGTCCTGTATGTAGTTTTTACTTTTTTTCTGCTTTAGTTTTCTGTACCATTTGTCTTGTATATAAGCTTATTCAATCTATGGAAAGGAAGGGGAACCACAGAAACAAAGGACAAAGGATGAACTAATGCAGCATTGATACTCACTTGACACTATGTTGGAAATGAACTTTACAACTTAGTGGGGAAGGGAGTGGGGAGAGATAAGCATGTGTTGCTCTGGAGTGCAGCCATTAGAATAAGGGTGTGCTGGGGTAAGAAACCTAGGAAATAAAGCTGACTCAAGGATGCATTGAAGAGTTTAGCCAGGTACACCTCAGCCTGACAATGTCGTTTGAGGCTAAGGGTTTTGAGAGCAGCAATGTAACAAGAGCTGTCTCAAAACAACAACAGGTGTGGGGATTTGGTTCCATGGTAGAGGAATTTCCTAGCATGTATAAGGAGAAAAAGAAAAAAGAAAACAGGAAAGAGCAATTAAGATAGTTAAACTAACACTAGTCGCTCACACCTGTAATCCTAGCTACCCAGGAGGCTGAGATCGAGGATTGCAGTTTGAAAATCCAGGATTGGCAGGAAAGTCCATGAGACTCTTATCTCCAATTAACCAGCAAAAAGCCTAAGAAGAAGTATGGATCAGGTGGTAGAGCACCATCCTTGAGGGAAAAAGCTTAGTGAGAGTGAAAGGTCCTGAGTTCATGCCCCAGTACTGGTACACACACATGCTCAGTGGCTCATACCTGTAATCCTAGCTATGCTGGAGGCTGAGATACAGAGGACAATGGAGCCTCAAAACCAATCCTTGCAGAGAACCTCACAGGATTCTATCTCCAAAATAACTAACAAAAAGAGGCATTGGAGGTGTGGCTTATGTGATAGAGCACCAATCAAGGGAGCTCTCTGAGTTCAAATCCCAATACCAGAAAAAAGAAAACAGCTAAATTGTTAACGCTGGGTGTGGTAAGCACATATTTTTAATCTTAGCATTTGGGATGCCTACGTCGGAAGATCCCAAGTTCACATAGTGAGCCCTATCTCAGACAATAACAGAGGTATGGATGGTGTGGTTTATTGATTCTGATTTTGGTGGGGGGAGGGCAGGAGAGCCCAGGGCAAAATATAAAAATAAAACAACAACAACAAAAAAGAAAATAACATGAGACAATTGTAGGCAACCACATTTTGTTTTTTTTGTCTGTTGTAGGGCTTGAACTCTGGGTCTGGGCGGCCTGGGCGCTGTCCCTCAGCTCTTTAGCTCAAGGCTAGTGCTCTACCACTTGAGCCACAGCGCCACAGCACCACTTCAGGTTTACTGGTGGTTTATTAGAGATAAGAATCTCACAGACTTTCCTGCCTGGGCTGGCTTTGCACAGATCTCAGCCTCCTGAATAGCAAGGATTACAGGTGTGAGCCACTAACATCCAACTTCAACCACATTTTAAAACCTGGAGTTTCCTAGTGATTTAGTGGCCCTGGCAAGTTACTATAGTTGCTGGAGCCTCTATTGATGTGTGAGAAAAGGAAGAAGGTTAGGGGAGGTAGTGTCAGTTTCTGACTATTTTAAGCATTAGATACCTCCAAACCAGTTCTTTCCTTTCCTCATTCTAAGGCCAGTATCAGGAAGACTTCAGTGAAGAGGACTAGCTTGAGTGGCTCATATTTTAGAATCAACTTTGTTTTATGAATCAGTTTTACACACTTTTATCATATGGAACTTTTGGTGGATTTCAAAGAACATTATTTTTTCCGTAGAGCAGATAGCTGATTTCAGATTATAAATATTCTGATAAGTATCTTGAGAATTGTTACTAACAAATTGTAGCTCCTTTTTCAAGTAAAACAACTGAGTTACTTATTTTTTTTAACTATGGAGAAGGAAAGAGAACAGACAGACTAAATTCCTTGAAAACTGACTCATTAATATTTATTTCTGCCAACTTCAAAGTGATTTATAAGTTGTTTATTGAGCTTTGATAACCAGTTCACACATCGATGAATTTAACAAATTCAAAATAAATTACTAGAGAGCCAGGAAATAATGACTTTCTCACATTACAGAGCAGTATATGAGATCAACTACTACTAAGTCCTGTCCTCAGTAAATAAATATTTCCACTGAGACAAATCCATAGAAGCACTTGATAGACCATATTTGTGTTGGATGAATTTCAACTGAAAAAAATTTTAAAAGCTCCCACTTGCTTGAGAAAAATTATAAATATCTTATAGATAGAAAACTTTTTTTTAAGCATGGTAAGGGGAAACAAAGGAGGAAGCAACAACACTTGAGAAGAAATGTACTCATTATCTTGCTCATGTAATTGTAACTCCTCCGTACAGTATTTTCACAATAAAAAAACAGCAATAGCTAATTAACAAAAGTCTATTTTTTAATTCTGTAATTATCCTGTGGATGAAGTAAAAAACATAATTAATAAAGCAGAAACAGAATCTGAAAGGGCTAGGGATTAAAAATGATCCTCTCAGAGAAGTTTTTATATCAGTTACTACATTTACTAGCTCTTTTTGGTCATTTCATTACTTATTCTCTTTGCTTCCATGTTCGCTTTAGTTAAATGTAGCAAGAAAAATAAATATGTCATAGAGATAGCATATAAGAAAAAATGAGATTTTTTTA